GTTCCTAGTAGCGATGCCCTTTGCTCCTAGCAGCGTCCTTGCTCCTAATAGCGATGCCCTTTGCTACTAGTAGCGTCCTTGCTCCTAGTAGCGATGCCCTTTGCTACTAGTAGCTTCTTGCTCCTAGTAGCGATGCCCTTTGCTCCTAGTAGCGTCCTTGCTCCTAGTAGCGATGCCCTTTGCTACTAGTAGCTTCTTCTTGGCTTAGCGAAAACGTTCAGTCGCCGCGAACCCAGGTGCAAATACGTGATCCGCAAATATGCCATGCATCCTGCTCAGAACCGATCAACCACATCTTTGATCCGTGAAATTAAAAAACAACATAAAACCAAGTCTTTCTTGCGCTGACACTAAACTTTCTTGCACTGCTTGGAGCGACCCTCTAGGGCGGAAAGACTCTCGCCGAAACGCAGCGCTGTTTGTTTTCCAGCGCATCTCAGCATTTGTTTACTGTGTTTTTCTTTCGATTGCAGGTCGAGAGGATTTGAGCTCCACTTGATTCTTGCCACATTTTCAGCTGGGCTCTGAGGGGGTCCACAATGTTCAGATCCTCAATAAAGTAGTGTATTCCTTGGAATGATGGTATCATGTGTGTGTGAATCTTCGTTTGTCAGAAAAGTCTTCACTTTGGGCATTAACATGTAGTTTCTTGTTACTAGTGATGCACTTGTTACTATTCCTGATAAGCTCTCTTATTCATTCAGGGCATCGCCTTGTTGGGGCCAGCGCTTGGTCAGCTCCTCAAGTGTGTGTTTTTCCCTTTTGAGAAGAGAACAAAGTACAAGAGATTTGCTCTCGTTGCTTTTGCTCAAGAGAAGACAAGCAAATTCCTGCTTAGATTAATTTGCTCTTCGTGCGATGTTCGAGGTGGAAGCGTGGCCATGTCAGGCTCCATCGTTCAGCCAGACAAATGGAGTCAGCACAAAAGGACGACAAGAACCAATCAACGCACAATTGTTTTCCGCCAACAGAGGGATGAGGGAGGGGAGATTTAGAAAGGTCAAGATGACGAAATAGGAGATATGGGACCTTGCCAGAAAGGAAGGAAGCACAGAAGAAAGAAAGGGCTAAGAGAAGTCTGTGAAAGAGAAGTAATTTGAACAAATAAGTCTATGAATAGATTTATTTATGAAAAGGACAAGAAAAAACAGTTTTTGGACAAGAAAGGTCCGAAACAGCATGGTGAGGACACTCATCTTCCTTGCCGTGATATCCACGGTGGCTGCGCTTCTTGCAGCGATGCTGCCCTATGTGCCGAGCTCCTTCTTTTGGCCGCTCAGCTTTTGCAGATTGGTAAGCCACATGGCAGATGTGGAAGGCCACCGTTCTTCCCTAGGCCTCCTTTTTACTAGCAACTCTGCTGGGAAACCTCTTCCTTTTTGGCGGCCTACCCTCCGGCTTTTGGAACAAGCTTTCTCGCCCTGTATGCTTCTTGCTCCTAGTAGCGATGCCCTTTGAGCCCCTAGTAGCTTCTTGTCACTAGTAGGGCCAGGAGCGCTAGTAGCATCCTTGCTCCTAGTAGACATGCCCTTTGCTACTAGTAGCTTCTTGTTCCTAGTAGCTACTTGCTCTTAGTAATACGGCCAGGAGCCCCTAGCAGCGTCCTCACCACCCTGTAAGCTTTCTCACATCATGGACTCACATTGAGGCCTAGTATGTTCATCACCTTCTTTGCGGCGGGTGGAGTGTATCCTGCCGCGTGGCACCCTCAACGGAAGCGCATTTGGCACAGAAGGGGCGCGAAGGAACCAATCGCCCCCAAGCAGCCCAAGCACCGTTCCAGCCGTGTGGAGCAACGCTTTGAGGCAAGGCATCATCAATATCGCTCGGTCCTGAGCTGGGAATCTTCACCGAATGTCCAAAGCGACATTGCAACATTGCTTTGCCGAAAGAAGAACTACTAGCGGCTACTAGCGATGGCCTCCACCCTACTAGCGAACGCCTCCAACCTACTGTCACTAGCGATGGCCTCCAACCTACTAGCGATGGGCTCCACCCTAGTAGCGATGGCCTCCAACATAATAGCGATGGCCTCCAACCCTACTAGCGATGGCCTCCACCCTAGTAGCAATGGCCTCCAACCTACTAGCGGTGGCCTCCACCCTAGTAGCGATGGCTTTGAACCTACCAGCTCTGGCCTCCAACCTACTAGCAATGGCCTCCACCCTAGTAGCGATGGCCTCCACCCTACTAGCGATGGCCTCAACCGAAAAAGATAAAATCAAAGTTAAAATCAGAGCGGCGAGAAGGCGACATCCTTTTTCGTTTCAGGCCTTGACTTCCAGCCGGGTGATTGAGGCCTCAGTCTATCAGGTGCCGCTGTTGTAGCTCAAGCGTCCCAGAGAACATGTGCAACGACGCGACAGCGCCATCCAGGTCCAATGCAACAACATTTTGTTTGCAATGCCAATGCCCTATGCCATTGGCAAGGCGAATGCCATGTCCATTTGGATTGTTTCGCAGGATGTCGGATTACCAAAGTGACGTTTTCCTAAATATCCTGGAACCACAAGAGGCTACTAGGGGCTCCTGGCATCGGCTACTAGGAGCAAAGACGCTACTAGGGGCTCCTGGCATCGCTACTAGGAGCAAGGTTCGCTACTAGGGGCTTTTCTTCAGTGCGAGCGCTTCAAGGAAGCTTCCCCCGCCGCCCTTAGGGCAGCCGGGGGAGCTTCCTTGAAGAAGCGTGAGCTATCCTGCGTCCTGTCGGTAGTAGCCACTTGTTAGCTACTAGCTACGGAACCTTGCTTCTACTCTAGCTACCTCTAACTAACCTACCTCCCTCTTCTACCGGCCTACCCCCCTTTGAAAGAATCTATTTTTAAGTATAAAATAAAGCACAATTTCCACTAAGAAGAGATGGTGTTCGCCAGGCCATGGATTCTTGGAGCATTGGAGCATCGTTTCGTCTTGTGGCTCTCCTTCAGGCAGAAAACACATGAAAACACCTCTCCGTTCTTGTCTTTTTTGAACAAGAACGCTACTAGGGGCTCCTGGCATCGCTACTAGGAGCAAGGACGCTAGAAGCCTAGAGGAAATTCGTCCATCTCTCTTGTCAGGTCGTTGCAGCAACCGGTTTCGCAGTGGCAGTTGTGGCCGCAGACTTTGAAGAGGATCAGATCGAAATATGTTTTGTGAAAAGGAATGGTTATTGAAAACTAAAAGAACAGAACTGTTTATCAAAAGAAAAGAGAAAAGGACAAGAGAATCAATAAAGAATCTATTAACTTAAAAAGAAAAGTGATTTTGTCGAAAAGCGCGCAGGAAAGAAGCGCATGGAATCGCATCGCTTCTCCAGACCCTTTGTTGAATATGGAGGAAGGAGTTTGGGCGCCCCAGATGAAAACGGATTGAAGCGTCTTGTCCTTTTGCTCCTAGTAGTACGGCCAGGAGCCCCTAGTAGCGTCCTTGCTCCCTAGTAGCGATGCCCTTGTTCCTAATAGCATATTGTTCCTAGTAATGCCAGGAGCTACTAGTTAGTGCCCTTGTTACTAGTAGCTTCTGGTTATTAAAAAAATGACAAAACTCGAAGCGTCGTTTCAAATGAACACTTTTTTCAGATGTTGTGTCATGTTGCCTCCAGATATCGCCAACGTTGGAGATGACAAATGAACTCAAGTGTCCTGAATAGTGTTTGACTTGGTTCATGGCTCGGGCCAAAAGGCCTTTGCTTCCCTTCAATACCAGCACCTGTCTGGTCGCAGATGGCAGATGGCAGATCAGAACAAGTTTCACCACATAGTCTGCAAGGTTTTCGCGTTTAGCAAAATGACTGCGCGTACCAAAGTGTTGCGGCTATCATTTGGCATCACAGTGACTGCATGTCATTGCCTCCCGATCAGCTCCAAGTGCTGTCCATATGCATTTCCCAATGTGTGATTCCGCACATTCATCGGTATTCTGCAGGGTGCTCGATTCATAGATAAAACAACTTATGTAAATTGGTGATAACCCGCTCACCAAGGCTGTGAAAACCATTAGAAACCACTGACAATTACGAAATGTATCTGTGAATGGAAAAACGCACGACCCAAAGCATACCTTTTCATGAAGGTCATGAACACCTGAGAAAGGTGAACCGGTCAATACGACCTGCGTTTGGCTCAAGGAACAACGTGAGCGGCTGTTTTTTGTCGGTCGCTCTTGAGGCTTTTTCCATAACCACAGGTTATGAGCCCAAAGAGCTTTTGAAGTCCACCCTCATTTGAGGTCGCTGGTCCCCATGAGCGGCTTGATGGCGCGGCGGCGGCGCTCCTCCCGTGAAGGAGGCAGGCTGAGGGATCCAGGAGATCAAGGAGGGCAACTACGTGTGGGAGCAGCTGACGAGAGGCTAGACACCCTCCTCGAGGAGGCAAGGGCAACCTCAATGCCACCTGCTGTGAAGAGAGTTGGAGGGGCTCCAGCGGCTGGCGAGGCGAGAAGATCTTCGACGGCGGCAAGCGGAGCTGATGGAAGACAACAAGGTCCAGCATCTGAACGGCATGACCGAGGAGCTGGCTGGCAGGAGACGGTGAGGCAATCCCTTGAGGTGTTGCAAAGGGCCTTTGGACCAACTTCCCAAGGACCGATGCCGGTGGGACCTCCGCCTCCTGAAGGACTTCTTGGACCTCTATTTCATGGCCGCGATCCAGGACACCCTCGCGCTGATGATCCGGGACAACCTGGAGGGCAAGGGGCTTGGCAGCGGGAGGCAGCGTCATCGCCTCAGTTTCCAATTCCGCCGAGAGCGGACAGGAGCAGCATGAATGGTGAAGGTGGTCCACAACCTAGAGTACTTGAGCCCTACGACATGTCCACACCCCATCAACATGGGCGGCAGCAGACCAATCCTTTTTGGAGTGACCGTGGACGTGCACCTGATGTGGCATCCCGTTCTGAACGTCCTCAACCCCCTAGTGAAGAGGTGAAGAGAAGCCCGACGTCTCAGGAGCTGGAAGCCATTCGGGAGCGCATCCTTCGTGAAGCCCACTTGAACTTTGAGAAGGAGGTCAAGAAGCTGACAGGTGGTGGAGGTTCGTCGACGTTTGAATCGGCGAATAGTGTGGGCGAGCGGGCGAAACTTCGTGGTTCCACTGATGGTCAAGGTGGGAACTCTGGTGATGGTGTTGGTGAGTCACTACCTGATCGACCCCCTGGATTACATGAGACTACAACCGGGACATTGTCTTCAGGGTTTGGTGGTGGAGCAGGAAAGGTGACCAGGATTGGGGCTGGAATTCCCGTGGCATCGACGACCGAGGCTCTGCGAAATTTGGAGCTTCCCTCACTTCCAGCACCCAATGGAGAAGGAGCTTCGATTCTCTTCGGCGACTGGCTGACTATGGCATTCCCGCTGATGGCTGACATCTCCAACTCGGCGAAGGCCTGGTGGGAAGAGTCCTTGATGGTGGCACAGGAGCACTACTCGCGGTGGTTGCGACTGAGTCCGCTGGAGAGGCTGAGATCGAAACCTCAAGTTGAAGTGGATCCAGCATTTCAACGGATCGAACAGCGTGGAATTGCTATGCTACTTGGAGCACTACCTGATCAGCTTCGTCGGGACTTGGTGTCTGGCAGGCAGCTGTCCGTGGTGCACATCTTGTACCGGCTCCATGTGGCGTACCAGCCGGGAGGCGGCGCGGAAAAAACGCAACTCCTCAAGAATTTAGTGGAGTCGAAGTTCTCCACATCGGTGGGAGAATTGTTGATGCAGGTCCGGTTGTGGCGACGTTGGCTATCTCGTGCACAAGAACTTCACCTCAACCTTCCGGACCCTCTGGTCCTCATGCACGCCCTGCAGCGCATGATCGACAGCACCCAAAAAGCAGGCGGCACTCAGGTGTCATTCAGGATTTCAAATGTTCGTCAAGAACTCCGAGTTGACTATGCAGCTTCGTTGGAAGGAGTCACTGAGCTAGCTGAGTATGTGCAGGCGGAGATCGAGGAAATGTCCCTCACTGCAGCTCAGAAGGGTGGTGCACCACTGGCTCAGCCGGCGGCCTCGTCCAATCAAGCGGCCTCGACGTCACTGAAGGCTATGGCATCGTCGTTTGGAGCGGCTGAGAATGAAGAGCGAGCAGGAGGAAGGCTTGCTTGCAAGTTCTGGAAGTCGGAGGAAGGCTGCAGGAGGGGAACATCTTGCACCTATGCCCACGACACCTCGGATATGAAGAACCGGTGCTTTGGTTGCGGTGGGAACCACATGAAGCGTGAATGTCCTCACCAACCCAAGACTGGAAAGACTGATCCAAAGAAGGTCTCAAAGGTGAAGGCCGCGAAGGAAGGAGAGAAGGGGGAGATCGTCGAGAAGATCGCCAAGGAGCAGCTCACAGGTGAAGAGCCGTCTCCGGGGTCATCGTCGCCTCCTACCACGACCACTTCGAGAATGGCAGGAACACCTGAGAAGCCACTGGGTCGGGAAACTACGGCAGAGTTGTTATCGGAAGCAACGTCTTTGCTCAAGACACTCCGGAGCATGAAGGTGCTTCGTGTGAAGGAATTGAAGCCGGTTGGCACTGATGGTTTGGCACCTGTTGGATTGCTGGATGGAGGGGCGACTAATGGTCTTCGTCGAGCACATGAGCAGGAGCTGGAAAAGATGTACCCGGTAAGGGTGGAGTTGGCCTCAGGGCCAACGACGTTGTTCAGGGTGGATGACCATAAGACCTTGCTGTCCAAGGACCACGTGGAGGTCATTGTCCCGCTCCATCGACTGGTGGGCTTGGGGTATCGGCTTCAGTGGACGGCGGCTGGAGTGAAGATCAATCACCCTGATCATGGCAGGATTGACTGCGCGCTTCGTGGGGGATGTCCGGTTCTACCTGAGGCCAAGGCGCTGGAATTGCTCAGCACCATGGAGAAGGCAGATCGGGGGGAGATCTTCACTGATGATGAAATACGATCATGGTGGTCATCAAGATTCCCTGAGGTCCCTGCGGAGGTGTGGGAGTTCATGAAGGGCCAGGACAGCTTTGATGCCTGCACTTGCCCCTGGAATCGACGTCAGCGGCGACGACACCTGGCGTCTCGTGGTGTGATTGTCAACCTCTTTGCCGGGAAGGACTATAAGAGTTGGTCTAAGACGGACTGGGGTGGCTTCGAGATTTTGAATGTGGACGTGACGATGGGCGCACAGTTCGACCTCCATGGCATTGGAACTTGGGGTTACCTATGTCATCTAGCTCGACGAGGCTTGGTGGTGGCTGTGTTGGGAGGGCCGCCGTGTCGCACGGTGTCGCGGTTGAGGCACCGAGCTCCCGGTCCACGCCCCTTGAGAGGTCGAGATGACCGCCGATTCATGCTGGAGGGACTTTCTTCGCCGGAGCAGGAGCTTGCCCGGAATAGCAAAAAAATGGCAAAAACTCGAGGATTTGCCAGTTTTTATCATTTTTTTGCCATTTTTTTGCCATTCCAATTTGCCATCCCCCACGCCATTCCCAAAGGGAACCCCAATTCCACCAAGCGTTGTTTTGGCCATCCCTCCTTTTGTCTAATCTAATCCTTCCAACCAATGCAGGTCCTGTTGTTTCGGTTGTCTGGGATGACCGGGCGGCAGCCTGTCCCAATGTCTCCGAAATGAGAGTTGCCTTCCCAGATGTTCTTTACACTGAAGAGCAAAGATAAAGAACAAACCACATGGATGCAAACGCGCTTTAAGGCAACTAGCAACAAACACAAAGGACGTACTGTTGAAATCACCCACCAAAGCCACAACTCAATAACAATACAACACTTTTCCTCAGCAAAGGCGTCAGGCAGCAAATCCACAATACCCAAAAAACACCAAAAAAATGCAAATGCAAAATGCCAAAAAAATAGCAACAAAATAACGATAGCAAAAAAACAGCAAATGCAAACAGCAAAAAAACAACAAAAAAACAGCAAACAATTGATTCATTGGATTTCCAATCTCTGGCTGGTGAAAAATCTCATAAGACAAGCCGACACGGTTCGCACGTTGACGGTTCAGCTCAGTGAAGAGTTGAAGAAAGCAGCTGATAGTGGTTTCGGCTGGCAGAAGAAAGAAGGTTTTTGGATGGGTCTTCACCTCAGCAATAGCTATCAGAACCCGCAGTTCATTCCAGAGCTTAGAAACCAGAGTTCAAAGATGAGCAGGTCTACTTTGGTAGAGCGTGGATGGGGCTCCAGGACCAAGAGGAAGAGATCGAGGAACTGCGCAACCCTCTGCGGAGATCGTGCGTGTCGAGTGCGCGAAATGCAGGCGAGAGTGCGATTTGCAACCTGCGCGCGCAACCCTCTGCGGAGATCGTGCATGTCGAGTGCGCGAAATGCAGGCGAGAGCGCCGGGCGTCCGGTCCGCGCGCAACCCTCTGCGGAGATCGTGCGTGTCGAGTGTGCGAAATGCAGGCGAGGATGCGATTCGTCCGGTGCGCGAGGGCATGAGCAAAGCAAGGTGCTCACTTTCGTGGCTGTGGAAGGCAACGACCCTGAAGCCTTCGGTTTCAAGATTGAGGACAAGCAGAGGATCCCAAGGCCAAGTCAGTCTGACTTGGAGGAGCTGGAGATTCCGAAAGCGCCCACAGATGAAGACTTCGAAGAGTTCTCTGGAATACCAGCACAGGCTTTTAAAGACTTATAGGCTGAGCTATATGTCCTGAGGACATATAGATCATTCTTCCTGGACGGCATTGTCGTGGTTCAAGCTGTTAAAATAGCTCAGCCTGGAGTTAACCATGCTTTCTGATAAGCTGCAGCCTGCCATGAAATCTGACATGTCAGTCACGAGCCAAAAAAGTAAAAGGAAGATACATGATTTATAGTTTATGAAAGCTTTGCTATTACATTTTCTTGTGTTGGTGCATATCTTAGTGCATATTTGTGGCTAGGTGCGTTTATAACTGTAGAACATATATGTACAGGTTTGTAATTATGTCACTGGGTGTTTGTGTATACGCACAAGGAAGTGTCTCTATAAACATCCCTGGGGCATGTTTTTTTTGACAGGTGTCGTTTGCAC